TTACACTGTTTGGCCAGTATATTTCCAGTCATAGTTTTATTGTTGGATGCATGATCTATCTCCCATATTTCCCTCACTGCTTTAAAAATGCTATTCTTTGTGCTGTTGGGCAAGTTGATTCTATAGCCCCACACCATTTTTGACTTTGAAGGTTTTTTTTATCGCAAAAATCTGTACTGACAGAGAGGAACGGTTTGACAAATGCGCGTTCTGCCTTTCAAATAGATGCGATGCACTACCTTCGGGCATTTTCTTGAACGCGAGCTTTGGCCCCAAGAAAAATAAGTAAAATTTCAAAAAAATGGGCTAATTTCACTTTAAATTCACTTTACATTTCGTCTGTTTTCGTTGAAATTTGTAAATGTTGCAAGGGGTTCTGGTATAAATTATAAATGAAAAAGACCTGAAACAAAATAACATTTGCTGAAATTGCTCTCCCAAATGTTATTAAGTCCAGACACTAAAGATGGCTAAAGAATGTTTCAAAAAATTAGTTATATTGCGAGATTTACAGTTAACAGAAAGACGAGAAAGCGGTTGCTTTCTGGTACCAAAACGAGTGCTGCGTGTCAAGTGCGTTGAAACAGACTGGTGTGACATGGATATACGGTCCAGATCAGACACTGATGATGGGAATTAGCACAACACAAAATGGTATGCGAAAAGCGGGAAGTATGACCAGCCGGTAAGGTACCTTACTGCCTAAAAGTATCAACTTTCGGGACGAAACGGTGATGACCAAAAAAATCCCGGAACTGCTGAAGCCTTGCTAGGTGCTTTTCCCAGTAGGCCTTTGAGCTAATGTGATCCCTTCGGTAGAAACAACGTCAGGGTTGCTGTTCGGATTACTCTTATGTGATGCAGCACTGGTCAAGGTCAGAACCCCCTCCACATTCGTTCTGCTTGCGAGGCGGAAGCATCAAGGAGTACCTCAAAAGTAGCAAAAGTTGCAAGCCGCGCGGATGCAGAAACAGACCCTGAAGTAGTACTTTTTTCAGGTGCTTCAGGCAGTTGCGGTGGAGTGTAAAACACCCCTTACCACTACACTAAGTCCACAGCATAGCAGTGTAGCTGAGACGCAAACAGAGGCTAAGCATTTTTTTTCGTTAAGCTACAGACCTACTGAGCACCTTACTCTCCTCCCCTATCCGCGTCTTGTTCAACAGTTAAGCGAGGGTTACAGAAGAGGAATTCCAGTCTTTTCTGTGCTTGGGTTCCTGACCTCCAGTCAAAATTAAGGCTGATCTGAAAGAGGACGAAGAATACACATTACCTTATGTGAAGAACAGAAGGCGGAAGCAAGGAAGGAGGCGGCTGAATGTGAAATCACCAAGGATTCTTCTGCTTTGTCGGGTGATTGATATACGATGGCGATTGCAGGCACGAATTTGATCAAACCGCAGTTGCAGCATTCTGAAATCGAATTGAACGAGGAAAAAGTGTTGGATTAGATAAATGCGAGCTGTTAGGGACACATTTGAATATACTATTCATGTTAATCAGTAAGGTCCGGGAGGAAATTGGCGTTGAGCAACAACAAAATCAGTTTGTCCAAATCAAACAGAAAATCCTACTGCTGAGAACTCTGAGTTCTGAAGCATGCAAAAATACATCCGTCAAATTTAATGCCAAAAAAAATGCTGTCTTATACCACACCACAAAGCATGCACGATCAGATGAAAATCAGAGAGGGGTCGAATATTAAAAACAAGCTTATATTTTAATTAGAAGGCTTAGTGACCAAATTTGGGAGGACGAAATGAACAACTTTTTAAATTTGTTCGACGAAATTAAATCGCTAACAGAATATAGTAACTAGGAAGACTGTCATCTGCATAAATGAGCAGCAAGATTAAAAATTACGGTTGATCTTAACATTTGTACTGTGAGAGCCATGCGATTACTTGTACTGTAGTTCCCGAAGAAGCCTTATCTACTCGGAATCCAAGTAAAAATATAATCAGTTAATCATTGGCGTAAGCAGGAGAATGAGTTGATGAGGAGAGCGGCCACCTTTTTTTGCCCTCAAGAACGTGAAATCGCCAGTCGTAAATGGGAAATAAATGCAAAAAAAAGAAAAATTAAGATTAAGGCAACAGAAGGGCGTAGAATGTAGCTGGAAGACGCACAATTCCACAAAAAAAAAGCATAAAATCTGGCCAAAGGATTGTTAAAGTTGGAGAGAGTATAAGAGCATTCCAGCAACACTACACGAACGGGAGATCCCCACACAAACTGTATGGATGGTCCTGTCCATCCCGGCATTGAATCAGACCAACAGCACTCTGTATTTCAAAAAAATCGGATGCAAAATTAGAGGCACACTTTTGGAGCAAGTGTAGATTCGTTTGTCAGAAACTGGTTATACTTCAGTTAATTCAGTTATGATTTACCAAAATCAAATCACTCCCTCAAAATTTTACCTGACAAAATTCAATTGCTGCCTGAAACTCTACTTCTGTTATATGCCTAGACTCGGAATTTATGCTGCTTTTTAAGCATTCTTCAGAAAATAAGTACAACACAAAATACGATCGTTTATGAAGAAATTTTTTTTTTGCTAAAAAAGCAAAATTATACAGGGGAAAATACCAACTCTGAGGTCCCATAAAGCGAC